ACCCGTCAACTTTGGTTGTGGATCATGATATTGATAGATACATTGAAATCATCACACGTGTGCTTGAATCGTCATTCTCAATCAGTATTATTGCAGGTCGATTAATCATTGTACTCACGAGATCAAACCCAAACATCAATGTTTCCACTACATAAATCAGTCGAAAATTGTTGATTTTTTTTCGTTAAAAAAACAAAAAATAAAATAAAATAATCCCCTCTTTCTGTGAACTGAAAATTATTTATTGTGACGTTGATCGATACTCGTTACCGAAAACATTTTTTTTATAAATGATTATGAAAACAGCTAAGAAATTGTGACAATAAAATAAGGAAATCAAGATAAGTAATTTCCCTTCTAAGTAACTAAAAAACTGAGAGGAAAAAGGCTCAAATATCTTCTATTAACCCTCAGTTCAAGCCGTATTACTCTTTTATATAAATTTTATATATTTTCAATATTGAAAATTATAATATTAGTTTATAAGGAAAAAATTATAGGTTTAGTATTTGTGAAAATGAAACTTTAGAACTAAAAATTTAAATTGAATTCCACAAACTAGAATCGAGAATTAAAAATATGATGGTGACAAACACAAATACACGAATGAATAACAAATACAGATGCAACTACACAACAAGTATCAATAGAATACAACTATAAGATCACTTTTATTCCTCTATATCTAACCTAAATATGAATAATAAAAAATTATAACATCACTATATAATGACTAAAAAATACCCACAAAAAGGAAAAGAAGAATCCAATCCCCGTGTAAGAATCGAGTCTGAACATGATAGATAACTGATCTAGTTCTTGATGAGGGCCAACAGGGACACCACCAATGAAGAACATAGTATAGCCCCTGAAACTGGCAAGAGGTTTCCCGCACCCTCATCCGGCGACGGGGCCGGTGCCGACACTTCTTGGGCCATTACAGCAGACAAAGTTGCCATAATTGCTAAAACCATCAAAACACCCTTTAAGCTTTCCATTGTATTGTGTGTATTAACTCAAAAGTTATCAAGGCTGAGAAGTAGAAATGGCTCAATAAACTTAAACTGTGTGTTTTCTTGAATCGTTTAAGGGGGTTTATATAGGTGGAAGAAGGCGGTGGAATGGGGCCAGCAAAAGCGCGGGCACGTGGAGCGAGTCCAAATAAGAAATTGGTTTTCTACGACCGGGTAAATTTAATCTGCGGTCCCTAAACTTTTAGCATAATTTCGACTGGGTTATTGAGTTTTAATTTAGTTCAAATTTAACAATTCTGTCCAATTCCGATCTATAGCTTACTGATA